AGCCTGATAGTGACGCATACAAATGCGCATCGTTGACACACTGCAGTAGCCGACTCTGCGGCTCGCTTTGGGGTATTCTGGCATTGGGAATCGTCATTGTGGAAGTTTATTTGCTGCTGGCTATTAAGGACGTTGGAGACGAAACTTTTTAGAGGCTTCTTGTTGTGCGGTTAGATAGTGTAGTACGATATTCCTCCGAAGCAGTCCCTAGCCCCAGCGTCGCGGTTGAGTCTGTGGAAAAGATTTACTTAACGCTCCAATCATCTTTCAGTTCTAGCAAGCTACTTTTATTCTATGACTTTTCGAGGAAGTTATTTTTATGAATTGGGCGCTCTGTGATACGTGAAATGCTCGCTTGAGTTTAGCGCTCTTGCTGTTAGACGGCAACAAAACTTGAACACCAAAAGATGCTCGGAGTCAAATGCTTTGACGCAGTGTCGCCACTAGGCATCAGCTTTAGGAGCGAATTAGGGGAAATTAAGCGGCCCAAACGTACTTGCAGCGTAACTTGCGGACCGGCTGCTACGGATTGTATGGGACAGTCTCAACTCCGGAGTTCCGGAGAGGGCCATTTTAGATGCTTTATCCGGCAGGTTAAACCGCCATGCAGCATTCCAGGCACTACGGCGGACAGCGGGTTTCCGTCATCAGTGCTGCTTTACCCTGCCATTTCTCATAATTTCTGGCTTTCTTGTCTTGAGTCCAGTGCACTGACAAGGGAAACCGATACCGCCTTAATGAGTAGATGCGAGAGGAACCCGAAGCAGGTTGGTTTAGCAGGGTAATGCCAAGCAGCGCCTAACAGTGACCTTTGGAGACCTACTGCACGAATCGCCCAAATTAGCAGTAGGCCAGGATATATGGAGTCTTTCACTGTTGACAGGGATGGTCACTGAAGCTGTGGCCAATTTGCACTTCGACATTAGGATGGTGTGCACTCAGTACCTGCGCAAAAAGGTGACTCAAGCGTTTGCTAAGTTCGGTAGCCAAAACTCGTTACCAGTGCTCAAAGGCACAGCCGAGCTCTCGAGTCCGCTTCTGGCACCGCCTCACTGAAGCCATGACCCTTCCCTACACCAATTTTTTTCGTAGCGGTCTAGTGCTTCTGCCGTTTCTTAAGCACCACCCGTGTTGAATATCGTGGTGCCTAGGGCCTCCACAGGCCACTTACCAAAGTCGCAGCACTACAGAGGCGTCATTTCGTTCTGCTTATTCAGATACCTACGACTCGATAGTTTCGAGTCCAACCGCTACTATCTGGTGGTTAATATCGGGGAAAACACGTAGATGTCCCGAACCAGTAGTCAGGACATAGCACGAACTATGTCTACAAGTGCAATGTACACAAATTTGCACTGGGCATACGCGCGTAGAAGTTCAACAACATACTGTGGTTACGGTCGTAAAGGGGTAATGTGGGGGTACCAGGTAGTTTCTGTGACTACCTTTTTACGGTGTTGCTGATTTCTTGCTGCTCGCAGGGGAAGTCCTGAATATGATTGCGTCAACTGGCATTTATGTTTTTAATTGAGTCTACGCCGGCAAAGCGAACAACGAGACATGCAGCAGCAACAACAGTGGCAGCAGACCACAGTGGTGGTGGTTGTGAAAAACTTATGGGGAGATGCAAAATGCAACGGTTCCCCGACCCGTCCGTTAGTGGACAAAGTTGAAGCTGCGCAAAAAGCTTTTAAATTAAATGGTCCGATAAATATGCCGCTTTTGCTCGCACGTAACTGGAGAAACGGCTTTACAGACAGTACGAGCAGCGCGTTGCAACCGCCCACCAGCGCAAGACTGGCCCCCTCAGTTTCAGTTCCACGGACCCTGTTCCGTTCCATTTATATAAAACTGGCTTCCGCTTTGTCCCATAGACACAGTGGTATTCTACAGTATTAGCAGACACACGCCATTACCGCTCAACGTACACCCGGACTTCACTGACCCTAGCAACTGCAGCAACGAGGGCAATAACAGCAGCAGATTCCGAGTTAATAGCACCTGTCCAACCAGATGCAGCCGCGGAGACTTTGGGAGCCGCGGGATCACCGGTAGCACGGACGGAAACAGCGGCAGAACCAGCAGAAACTTGGAAAATGGCCGACCCGGATGTCGCCGTAGCGGCCGATTCCCTTTGGAATTTATCCTCTTCTTCGAATCCTAATGTAACCTCTTCTGCTTCAGCGGCCCCACACACGTCAGCAGCCTCTTCATCAGCTTCATCATTTTCTGGAGCGGGAGCTGCAGGGGAAGTAGGAGAGACTGCAATCCCATCAAGTTTCCTCGGCACTTTGGTGCCGGTTCGTCGCACATTCATAGAAGAAGTTCCCGAAGATCTGCGATGCCCCATATGCTACGATGGCGCCGCCAACTGCAGCACTCGTTGCGGCCATTCCTTTTGTCTACACTGTCTTTACAGCCACATAACTACACGCATCATTCACCAGCAGTCTACCGCCTGTCCGCTGTGCCGGTCGGCAAATGCAGGCCTAGGAGTCAGCACCATATCCGGGGAGAAGTCAGCCAGAGTAAGGCAGACGGTCACAAGAAGGCCCAAGACTTTGTTCAGTGTCCCGTGACTTAATCGCTTGCTGAGCTTCATTGTCGTGCCCTGCTCAATCTGTGTTTCTGCGCACATTCCATTTTCTTGCTCCTCAACCGTCGTCCATAGTCACAGTTTCCTTCCGCCCGTCTCTGGCTTCAGTTGCGCCACTTTCTCATGAAATTTGCATGTATTTTCGTTGCTGTGTGCAGACGCGTGCCTTGCGCGTTCGTTGTTTGGGCTATGAAGGAGGTTGCCAAGTAGAGGGGCCTCTCTCAGAGGTAGAGAAGCACGAGACCATCTGCCCGACTGTGCTAATTTTCTGCAGATTCAGAGACGCAGGCTGCAGCACTCCTGTGCTCCGAAAGGAAGTATGCTTTGTTTCTGCTGCTGCCGTTGCCATATTCGATCCTGCTGCTTATGGCGGTGCTGTTGCCACAGCTGCGGTGGAGGCGTTGCTGTTACTGCTACCAGTGTTGCAGAAGTCACGCATGGTGCTGATTCTTCGTCACATCAGCTGCCGGGTGCAGTTACCCAAGATAGGTGCCCTGCTGTGGGCTGGTGCTTTCGCTGCAGGCGTCTCTTCATGAAAACCGTTGCCGGTTCAACCCGGCCGTGCGTTGCTGCCGGCACTATCTCTCTGGCTGCAAAGTCCGCGGTATAGAGGAGTTGCTGCAGACGCATGAGCCCCGCTGCAGGTATTTTTAGTCATTCATCCCTCATTGCAAGTCCGCAGACTGAAGTGATACATAAGTAAACTTGCTCGCTGCTCCCCCATCCCATTTCGTCTTCTTTTCAGCACTTGCTCTCATTTGTTGAGGGATGGAAGCTAACGTGACCTGCTTTTGGGTTGCTGATCGGGTTCGAGTAATTACCGAGAGCTGAGTTGCCTGTGACTTGCTGTCAGGTACCGCAACATGCAGAAGTTCGTCAATTGCCGCCATATAGCCCTTGGATGCGGCCTCCGCATTCGAAAGCAGTACAGAGAGAGGCATTCCGATTGCTGCGCTTTTAAAATACTACACGAATTCAAGCTCAGAAGGAACCAGCAGCAACAGCAGCGGCAGCAGCAAGAGGGCGACGGCGACCAACAGAGCGAAACAGCTGAGTACAGTGGCAATTTTGCAAGTGATAGGAATGTCATTCAGACAACAGCAACAACTGTGGAACGTGCAGATGATACAACGGCATCCAGGGCAGCACCAGCAGTTAGCGAGTGTGCCGACCTGTGCCTTGCACTCCAGTGGGCCTCCCCGCGAGCCCTATCGGAAGATATTCTGCTGGGATGTTTAAGCAACTTTCTGCCCAATGTTTCGAGTATTAGCGAGGGACGCTTTCCAGGGGAGTTCCACGTCGTACTTAAAGAGTAGGTCAACACCAATCATACTGTTCTGCCATTTTGGAGCTACTCTGGATGCCGCGCTGTTGCGCTGCTGGTACTTCCGCAGTCTCTCCAAAAAAACGTCTACTGTCGTTCAGACCATTACCCGTGATGTCGTTTTCGCTGACGTGGCGTTCCCCCCTAAATGGACCCTCCATTTTCCAATTCCTGCCCACTTGAGGCGCAGCACTGCAGCATTGACATCTGAGTGCGTACGACTGCATGCTTGTTTTGCTCTTCAGGGTGCCGCTGCTTGCTGTTCGCTCCATAGGGATGGTGGGTGACCCCAACATGAGTTCTAATCTATCAACACTAGGTCTTCTTTTCAAGGGGCTTACCACTGTCCAGTCTGTGCAGTTGTAGCCAGCCAGCTACACTGCAAGCTCTCCGTAAGATCAAGGCAACGGTCGTCCGTTTGCCGAGGACACAAACTACAGGCAGTGTTCCCACACATATTCCAACCCTCTAGCACGTGAATACTAATGAGAGAGCACCATGGCACCAGCTGCAACAGTTGCAAGCGTTGCAACAGCTGGTACAGGCGCGAAGAAATTTTGCTCCGAGGGCACCGGCGGCGTTTCCGTGTACTTGGTTTAGTGCTGCCTTGCACTTCTCTAGAGGCAGCGGCATGCCGTCACCGCTGCTTTGTAAAGTTTTGCCACCGTAGTGAATTTTTTCAGGTGAATTCATACACCTTTTGTAGCAGCAGTACCAGCCTTCCTCGGCGCCTGGGAGTTTCGCTGTGTTTCCCTTTAGGGTTCTGTATAACTGCCGTGCTGTCGTCCGGCTGTTTGATAGCGCTCAGCTGTAATAAGCAGCAACAGGTACAGCAGCAACTACGGCAGCACTAGTGACACCTCTCGGGTGTCCTCGCTAATGCCTGTAAAGGGTCGTTCTTTGGCACGGAGCGGTTACAGACCAATAGGCATTCAAGAGCTCAGAAAAAAACACAAGTCATGATCATCCCACAACCGCGCTGCGACTGCTATTTGCTGTCCCAGATGCGGTTGAGCTCCGCGTGTCAGCAGAAACATGAAGCAATATGTATGTGCTAGCACCTTCAAGCGCATGCTTGTTCTATCCCGGCTTACTTGGCGTGCCTACGCTTTCCTTTAGGTAGAAGGCATTGTAGTGTATGGGCGAAATATATGTGAGGAAAATGTGTCTTTGTGGGCTGACCTTTGCTCCGTCTCGCTCAGGGTCGTAGCGGAGGTACCAGCTCGTTGGGGTTGATGTTATCAGGTGTATGGTGCAGCAAAACGCATCGGCCACTGCACGGAGAGACAGTTCGTCTCCCCATGTGCCGCTTCGCTCCATATCTCTCAAATACCTATCAAACAATGGGGCGCCATCAAAAAAGACTTCATAATCTTTGCGGCATTTTCGCATTTGTGCGACAGCCATACGCCTCACATGCCGATGTTCGTCCTCCTTCCCAAATAGAGAGAATGAACACGAACGGAACTGGCAGTTGCCGTCCCCTACGGATGTTACTGTGCGGCATCCTAAAAACGACAAACGCTGCTCAAGCAGACTCGACTCCGTCTCCCACGCCGTTATGTTCTTTGGATAGCTAACGTGGGCTCGCGCAGCCGCTCTGGGTGATGTGCTGCTGCTGTTTGACGTGGTCGTCAGGACAGTGGTTGGCCTCGCCTCTTCTTCTCTGTCGCTCTTCTTGAAAGACCACAGGCGACGAAAGAAACTGGCACCTCTCGCGAGTTGCTTTTCATCTCCTTGCCTCTGCTCTTCTGCGTCATAGGCATCTGGCTTATAACTGCTAAGAAGAGCCACTCTGCTGCTCACCTTCTTTGGAGACATCAAAGGGCCCTTCATGGTGGACCCTTCGGCCCCTGCGGACGCATTCCTACCCTTCGTCCTGCGTCTCTTAAACTCCCTGTCCGCCCTCTTCGCAGCCAAGCGAGTCCGCACAATCAAATACGCCTTCAAGACAGTCGCGAAGCTTTGTACGTCAACTCGCCTTTCCAAACGATCCAATAAGACGAAATCATCTGTAGTCATTGGCCGAATCTTCGGGGCATCACGTTGCTCCTGGTGGCCGTCAAGAGAGGGGCCCCCGACTATGGAATATCCCTTTTTAGAGGGAGAAGCCGATTCGTCTGAGCTGGATGCGGAGGAGGAAGGAGAGGAGCTCAGCACTTTCGAGTCAAAACATGTGCGCACCATAATTCAGAAGGTCTGGCAGTGATGGTTGGGGCGGTGGAGATACCGATAACACTGCTGCTGCTAATGCTGCTGCTGTTACCGCTCCTACTACTTGCTGCACCCTTTCCTGCTGGTCTTGGAAACAACGCCCTTGACCGTCGCTCCGCGCGTTGCAGATGAATATGATTCTACTGGCCCGATTTCTGGGTCAGCAGGTCTACAGTATCTAGGGAGACTCCTGTTGATGGATATTGCAAAGTTTCGCTAGCCTTCTTGGGGCCGCCCCAGTCGCAACATATAGTGTCTGCACTGTCATCAGAACAGTCGCTATTGGTAATAACTATTCTGCTGCCGTCGTTACTGCTGATGCCAGGGGGAAGTAAAGGGCCTATGAGCCGTACTGGTCGGTAAAAGAACCCAGGATGATGAGCCGTTGCGGAAGCGCCCGTCGAGCTGAGAGTTGTCTACACACGAGTTTTCGTGTCAGTTTAACCTTTGAAGCACAAATAAAAAAAGAATCCAGGAAGACTGAAAAACTGTCGACGTGTTCAGCGACTCAAGCAGGTCCGCCTCGTAGATGGATCGACGCAATGAGACAACAGCCGTAGCTCTTGTTGTTCCTGGTTCAGCTATTGCTAATACTGCCAAATATGCTGATACGTCCTTGAAAAAAACACTACTACAGCAACTGTAGATTGAGGAATCGCTGCAACTGCAGCCGAACAAAGCGGAAGAGCGTAGGAGTGCTGCGCTCTACTCAGTCCACAGGATTTGCGCACAAAATGCCAGACTGCGGAATAATATATGACTAGTTCAACCATTTTTTAATTGAAACGTCGGCCTACCTCCAGTATTGATGAAGCCTAATGCTAAAAATCATAAGCGCCAGGTTGGGGCTGGTTGAGACTTAGTGGAAGCAATGCAGCGCATTTGACCAAAGCGGACCAGTTTTCCCTTCTTCCTCTGCTATTGACTCCCTAACTAGTGCATTTCTTCTCTGTATTTGCGTTTACAACGAGGTAAAACATCTCATATTCAACCGAGATCGGTGTTTCCACTAGTTTGGTACAGTTAGATGGCTGTTTGGTAGTGCTTCACCACCTTGAAGTGCTAACCTGTCCCGGCACTGCCTTCCGGTGCTGTTTATTGCGACTTCTTCCAAATTAAACGCTGTAGAGTGCTTCAGACATCGCCAGATACAGCACAGGCCCACGGGGGAAAGAATTAAGGCGAGTTTGTCGGGTATGCGGCGCTGGCCAGGGTAGCGTCGAAGGCTTCAAAGCAACAACAGCAGTGGCATGGGAGCCCGCCATGGTGTCGTAGTGCCAGAAAGGGGTTCAGGCACTGTGCCACGCGCTCATAGCGATAACACGGCGGACAACTTCACTTCAAATATTGCTAGGTGCCCGCAGTCACGTCGACAGGGAAGTTCTCCGCAGCGGCAGCCCCTACCCTTGAATACGGCGTCAGGGTTCCACAGCAGGTGCGTGTTGCGCGTGGGGAGTACTTCGTGTGTTGATCTCCCTAAATAACCGCCTGGCCAGCGCTGCTCCATGAAACGAATCCCCTTCAAAATCTCGAGCAAAAATTTTCGTTGGTGCATAGTCGTCTCCTCTGAGCTTTTTCCGCTCTTTTCGCGCTGTCTCGACTAGGCCTTAGCTCCACATGAACTTCTAAACCCATTCAAGGTTCTCCTTGTAGAGTCCACCTTAGACGCTCTCGAGTCACGTAGCATCAGCTAGCATTTAGATACATTGGAAGCTTTGTGTCCTACAGACCATTCTCGTTGCACTGTGATGGTCAGACCCTGATGTATCTGGACTTTGTCCTAAAAATTTTTGTATTGTTGCTCAAGGCTGCGCATACTGCAGCGCATCTCTTGAAGACACGAAGTTGTATAAGTAAAATGTGTAGCCTCCGTAGCTCAACATCTTCATGAACCTACGAAGAGAACTTTCAATGCTTTGTTGCACAGGCAACCACAACGGCAGACATTCGTGCACTCACTCGTTCATTTATCCTGAGAACTCCCGCCGGTATGCAACACTTCGTAAGGGCACCTTGAACGCAGGCTTCAAAATTGTCTGCAATATAACGAAATATTCCCTTGTCGCGCCGACGTTAACAAGTGCAAAGTCCGTTAAATGTAGACTCGTCCACAGTGATGGTTTGCCCAGAAGACTGTAAATGGATGTTCCAGGCTACGACCACTTTGATCGTGCAGTCACGCACAAAGGTACACTAGTACACTAGCGTTCTCTAGGACCATGGCGTGAAAGCTAAGCAACACAGGGAGTTCATGAATGCTGGATGATCGGTGGTGAGCAATGCCGATTAAACAACCTTGCTTATGACTCCCTTTACTTTCTTTTAGTACGCCGCATGGAGCAGTCTTGCTTTCACCCATGTAGCCCCAGATGGAGGGCGCATTCAGATTTCAGTCTCCCTATTCGAGCAGGAGTACTGTCACAGCGCTCTTGGAGCAAATTTAGTAAGCACAAAAGCGGTCAAGATCTGGCCGGACGGGTGAAGTTAACGAGGTTGAGCTGTAGCAAGCCAATAATGACTCCAAAAAGTCCTGAGCACATGTGAATATACAAATCGCACAAAGACCGCTCGAAATTGGGAACGTTAAGCGACTGCAGGATCTTTAGCAAACGAGACTTAGTGCTCTTTGGCGTACTACAAGGAAAGCCCAACTGCTGCCAAATCATTTCGTAATCACACAGAGGCGCCAATAAGTGCACGAAAATAATGCACAGTATATTTTGATAACCCGCAGTTGCTACTGTAAGGAACCTCCACTGACGAACTGGTATCCATGCAGCCTTTCTTACCAAGAGCTGACGCGAAAATCTCCACAATAAGCATTTTGACGAATATTTCTGGCCTCTGCGCGTCGCCGAGGGCAGCTCCGCTACCTGCTACGCCCACTGAGATCCTGTGAGGATCGGCACAAAAATACTAGCGCTTCTCGTGGAACGATGACACGAAGAGCCGTCGCTTCCAAGGGCGACTCCCTAGTTAAATTACCGTTTACTTTTGAGCCCTGGTGCAAAACAAGCTTCAAGGGGGCTGCTAAATCATGAATTGCACAAGGCATGAGATTTCTGTCCGACAGCCAAGCGAAAGTTGCTCAAGCAAACTGCGCTATCCTCACCCCGAAAAAACATTAGAGAGGCCCACGGTAAGCCCTGTCGCTAAAAGTCCCCATCCAGCCGCAATGGCATCTGCTTGCCACTTCTGTCAGCAGAGACAATGAAAATGAGCACACTACGCACGAAACTGCAACCGCACGAAACAGGTCAACCTCGACCAAATTAAAGAGCCAGCCTGTTGCGATATTCATCATCCTTACTTCAATCTTGTTGGCATCCATCATGCTTTGGATGAAATCCGGAGGAACGCCGTCCAGCTTGCCTAAGTAAAAACGTAAACAGATTCAGGCGTATACCTTACAGTTAGATTTACAAAGAGGCTACTACGTGAAAACAACGAGCAACAAACTGTTTCGAGCGAGTAAAAGAAGCAACAAGAATCGCCGGTCTTAAAGAACCTACTGGCAACCAAGATGGCAATGATAACACCATATATTGCAGTTGCCTCGCAAAATATTACAGACACCAAATTCTTCGACCGAATCCTGGGGGACTTTACAGCTGCGCCAAGAAGGCTGCTTCCGGTTATGAATATTCCCCTGAGAAAAAAAAGGGAATGCCGCAGAAGCCCCCAGTTAGTGCAACAGCACTGTGAACGGCATCCATGGCCCCACATTTAATTCGATGTCAGCTCAAGCGACAACTCATTAACGAAAGTTTAGGACATAGACTTACCATGCAGCACCAATCGCTGAAAGTCCCAACGCCAGGGCAACACCAAGTGCTCCCCATGCGACTGGAGGAATGTCACGAATGATATCCCCCCATCCTGTGTACGGCAAAGCCACTCCCTGTTGTGCCATCCTCAAGCGAAAGCGCCTGTATGCCTGAGCAGCTCCCTGGCAACCAGCCTGCGAAAAGGCCAGTGAGGCTACCAGCTATGGTCAGGCAGGAAGGCCCTTCACTAGACGGAAAACTGCGTAAGAATTGGGTTAGCGTTGAGCCCGCCCTTTTGCATTCCTACTGTCCCAGACGACATAGAGGATTCCCCTGCTATGAATATCTGAAGTTGTGGACACACAGGGGGCAAGCGTATCCAAGATGGCTAAAAGAAACTGAATCCACCTGATTTTAGCCATTAAGAAAACATACTCAGGTACTTTTTTGTTCTGGAAGCGTGCTGGCAGTAATAACCCACCAAGAAGCCAGCGCAACTTGCATGCGCGCTTCGTGGGTCTGAGACCGCGAACGCTGAAATTGTAGCCTCACTCGTTGGAGCTTAATGAAAAAGAGTGCCAAGCTGAAACTGAAAAATATTTTGGAACGTAGAGTTGAATAATTACCGCTAAGGTATAGGAGGGACTTCAATTCCACAGGAGTACCCTCCGGGTCCCATATAGTCTAGGTGGTTAGGATACTCGGCTTTCACCCGAGCGACCCGGGTTCGAGTCCCGGTGTGGGAAGTTTGAGGATGGGCTCACTTGCCTTTTGCAACGTGAAGCCGTCATATTTGGGGGGTCTTGAGCTCAGTTGACTTTGTAAGTTGGAGCCTTGCTCGTTTCAGGCAAGCGTTTTCTTGTCCCATTTGGGTACGAAGAAGTCTAGTATCTATTTTACGGAAGCTTCGCGGCATTATATCGACTCCAAGAATCCAACCGCCGCAGAAAATACACACAACAGAGCCTTCGAATGTTCAGAGGTAAATAAAGTTGAACTATTCTGGATACGCCGTGCAAAATTCGGCCAAGGGGCACAGCACCCAGGCTCTTGGTTGTGGCGTCAGTTGGGAAACGCTGGAGAAGGTAAGCAGTCGCCGTGCGCTTTTTGCTAGTGGCTGTTTGGGACGCTATCATCTTACTTGGTTGGCTCACGCAGTTACCAGGTTTCTTCTTACAGTTTTATACATGTATTGCAACAAGATTTCGAAGCTTCAGAGTAATCCTCTTCGAAAGGACTTTCCCTCAGACAGCTCACACTCAGTTATGTGTTACTGGAATAGCACCGTAGGCGCTGACTGCTTACATAAAGCGCATTCAGGTGGTGCAACTAATTATGAAGACTACGAAGATATGTAAACTCGAGCTATTCAGTCCAAAGGTTAAGACTGATCGTCTTCGAAAGGCCTTAAACAGCCAGCACTCAGGACTCACGACTATCCAAACTGTGCCGCAGGCGACGACTGTCTAAGTAAAGCGAAGTTATGTGGTGCAGTTAATCATAAGAATTGCAAGGATAACCACGAACATGAAGCCCTTGAGACAGGGAGATCCTTGTCCCTTAGTGGGCGTGGTTGTTCTAGTTGTAAAATAAAAAATGTGCTGTGCAGCGGGAATTACCAGCTCTGAGTCCATATATGTGCCGTTTCAGCATAGGAATCACATAGGACTCTTAAAGCAAATGCAACTTCACCATCTCATGCATAGTGCCCCAATTTCGTGCCCTATGGTTACATCATCAGCCTTCTATCTTCTGATAACTCTGGTCTCTTTCACAGGATGTTTAGCTTTACTGGTAGCATCGGCGTCTTGAGAGAACGGTATTATCTCCTCTCACTGCGCTTCTTCGCTCTCTCCGCTGCAGCTGCAGCCTTCAGAGATATCGCTACGCTGCTGTCTCGTCAAAATTGCCCCCGTTTGACTACTTCTCGCAGATTCCCGTGATACTTCCGGTTCTTGGTCTGCGCTGAGCTCATGTTCGTGCTGCCTTTGCATCCAACTGAGGTCACCTTGGGAAAACACCACTTCGTCTTCTCTATCAGCACCACAGCACTCCATTGTTTGGCACAAAAGACCAGCATCTTGACCTTTGGTCTTTCTGTACTCGCGAATGTACTCTTCGGGGACCCGGACAGTTCCATCTGGAGACACAACTTCAACTTCTGTCTCTTGAATCTCTGCTGGGTTCTTGCGCACCATAACTGCAGGCATTTCCGTAACCTTCTGGACGGGATATGGAACAATAAGAGGAGCAGGGCACTCAAGAGATACGTCGAACTTTGGTACGAATCGCTCGACATGAACGATCTTTTCCACCGGTTTCCACACGTACTTTACTGTGTCTACATACTTCGGGACTTCGATAATCTTGGGTACCTTCTTTTCGATTGTATCTACCACTATTTCTTTCTCCACAATTCTGTCAACAAACTTCACCTGGGGGACTTCAACTTCGATTATCTCTTGTTCCCCCACATACTTCACCACCGGGCGAGGCACTTCCCTTATTTCCCATTTGGGCACAAACTTATGAGTGTACCCAGTGACGATCGGCACCAGAACTTCTCTTTCAACATACTTGTACTTTGGTATTTCAATGTTGACCGGCTGAGCGTCGATGCGCATTTTGGGGACTTCGTGTTCCACTCCCTGGTTGTACACCCGTGGCTTCACTGCATCCACAACGTCTACTTGAGGCACTTCAATGATCTTGTCGCGCCTGTGAATCTCCTGAATGACTGGAACAGGCACAATAGGCTGCTCGCAAGTCAATTTAAGGCGGCCGTCCCTACTCCAGGTCCATAAACCATGGTTTGCCTGGTGGGCCGGCGGGGGTTCCGCATAACAGCATGGCCCGCAGCTTGGATTGGGTGTTGCCGTTCCATCACTTCCCTGGGCGCTTCCGAAAGCATAAGGGGCTCCAACCATAGACCCCTGACTGATGAAGTTGGGAAATCCGCTGCCGACTTGTGGCAGCGAGTGGATTGGCTGGTGGCTCGCGGTGCTGACGCCGACGCCTCGTGGCGTGGCGTCGCCACTTTGTATGTTAGACATTGCTTTTGAAAAATGTGCTTAAGTATTGAAGGATCAAATAAACCTTACAACTATGGCAAGATTATAGATCGGCGGGCTCTGTAACCCGCGTGAGGCTACGGCCGACGGCTCGCTGCCGGAGCCGCTGCCGCCAGTTCTGGGCAGCGAAAAATAGAACACAGCTGGAGGATTCCTCAAACAATAGTGGATAAAGTTGAGGCAAAGTTGAAGCAACAGGCTGAAAATCTCCTGAACTCCTGTAAAAAGAGATGGAAAGTGTCAGCTTGGCGGAGCCATTGGGACCGGCCGTGGAGGTATGCAACCGCATCGACTTTGCGAGCGCAGGGCACCTGGTAAGCAGCGAAAGCCTGACTTGCACTGCAGAAAGATTGGAAGTTTCACCCTTCAGTCAGTACTATTTACATGCATTTAAAGTATTTACGGGATCTAAGTGTGAACTGTGGATGGGATGCATCGAATTTCCAAGCTAGTTGCTTTTGGAGGTTGATTTGTGTTATCTGGCACGGGATGCCTCGCTCTTGTCGGGAGATACTGCTCCAAAAGTAGCTGAAGTTACCCAAGTTCAGCTCTTCTATCTCAGTGTGTTGTACGAACTATTTGTTCTGAGAAGATTTAAAACATTTTGGAGCCCGCATTCGACAGAGCTTGCTGCTGATACCTCACCACAGCTAGTTAAATTCACTGCAGCGCGCCACTCCGTGTACATTTTATGGCTCAATTATTGCTTTTAGAACAAAGTGAAACCTTCCTACCTTTTGCTGAGTGTTATTGGCGATGCGCAGTGCTGGACAGAAGCAAGGATGTTAAATACAATGAAATTGAACACATGAACAGATAGTAGACCTACACATAAGGGCAAAGGGCTGCAGTGTGAAGAAGGCAGCGGGTTGTGCATTGTATTTTCTTACCACCAGATGAACGGCCAAGGACAGCACACTGCTAGGAAGGACTTGGATAGACAACCTTCAGAAAGTGTCTTGAGATGCAAAAGTAGGCAGTGTTAATTGTGGAGATTAGACGCAGGGCCATTCCGAAGCTGTGAGCACAACGTTTAGCCTGAACAGTGAACCTTTTGACTGCTTATACATCTCAAGATCAAATAACAATCTCGACAGCGATGCGCCAAACTAAGAACACTACTGGCCTGCACTGATGAACCCTCCCGTAATATAGGCAGTGGAGCAGCACCTTAGTGAGCAACCCTCCTGCATTGATGGATCCCATTGGTCCTGGAAAAGGAACAGAGAAGGCTTCCTATCTTGATTCAGCTAAGTTTGCTGACAACAGAGAAAACGGAGATCAGTTCCCTGGAAGTGACTGGGCTCCTGGTAACCGAAAAGAGGGGGATTCGATTCAATCATTCGTCACTGCAGTTTCGCCACTGCAGTGTTGTAGACTGTCTTCCCTGTAAAATCATGAGGCGTAGGCTCCACTTCTTCAACAAAAAACGAGAAGAATCCAGGATAAAACAATTTTGTGACTCAGCGTTCTACGCCTAGTCGGCCTTTTTTATGTCCCGTCTGCGCTTCTCTTGAATGACCCCCCACGGCAGCTGAAAGGGGATGCAAGCGAAAAGCAGCTCCGTCCATTTTTTGTGCACAGTTATACTTTGACCGTCTTCCCCCACTGTCTATTAGGAGAACTTTAAGAGCCATCAAGGAAGCTCAAGTAATCAGAGGCGGCCGATTAAGTAACTGTGTCCACTCCTGACACTTCTAACACCTTCGCAAGTGTGCAGTGCGAAAAGCCTTATACATTGGAGCCGCTTGTACGAAGCACACGCAGCACCTGAGCAGCGCTCAAGTTGAGAAGGTCCAACAGGGTGGGACCGCTCATGAGGCAGGTACACTTCGCTGGGCTAGATCTGCCAGCGGCAACTGATACTTGCCATGCCACATTGTCAATCTGGGAAACAACGGCGACAAATATCATAGATGTCCTTCACAAGGTCCTGAGCTACCTAATATTTGCATACACTGCTGGGCTTGAAACTGCCGCTGCTATAGGTTTAGACCAACTGGCTCGAAAATTCGGCGTCTGCCTAAAGGGGTATACTTGGCAAAACAATGTATTTATGCCTTCCCTCGGAAACA